GAGGCTGGGGAGAGATGGGTCAGCCAGAGAGTTGGAAGATTCAGGATTGAGGCTGGGGAGAGATGGGTCAGCCAGAGAGTTGGAAGATTCAGGATTGAGGCTGGGGAGAGATGGATCAGCCAGAGAGTTGGAAGACTCAGGATTGAGGCTGGGGAGAGATGGATCAGCCAGAGAGTTGGAAGACTCAGGATTGAGGCTGGGGAGAGATGGATCAGCCAGAGAGTTGGAAGACTCAGGATTGAGGCTGGGGAGAGATGGATCAGCCAGAGAGTTGGAAGACTCAGGATTGAGGCTGGGGAGAGATGGATCAGCCAGAGAGTTGGAAGACTCAGGATTGAGGCTGGGGAGAGATGGATCAGCCAGAGAGTTGGAAGACTCAGGATTGAGGCTGGGGAGAGATGGATCAGCCAGAGAGTTGGAAGACTCAGGATTGAGGCTGGGGAGAGATGGATCCAGAGGTTGGGGGGGAGGGACAGATTTGAGCCCACCCAGAAGACCACTCCTCTGAGGCAGAGGGAAGGAGCTGCAGACGCAGCTAAGCATAGCGCTGGTGGCTGACTCATATGCTGAGGAGGTAAATTCTGGTGGCTTCTACTCTCTGGGTTAAGCAGGAAGTGCAGCTGGGTGCAGTAGATGGTCAGAAATTGAACAGTGTGCTGGAGAGAAGTTTGGGATGCCCCCAGGTTGAATTCAAAGGAGGCAAAATGTAAAAACTTTAGATGGCATTCGAAATTGTAGGCCGCCAGCGAGAGGTGGCCCCAATCTGTATTAATGTCTCGTTTCCCTCCAGCAGCACCTGGCTGGTTGGATACAGGATGAGACAGACTTCTCATGACTCAGAGCTAGGGGGTCAGGGCAGGTGCACCAGAGGGACGGGGTCAAGGTGGTGAAGATATTGGTGAGAGGGGCTGGGAGGCCACGCTGCATGGGAGCAGAGCGAGGCCAGGAGCCAGCGAGGACGGAGAGCTGATCCCGGGAGGGAAGGAGGGAGTGGGGAGGCTGAAGGTGGGAGTGTGGTCCAAGGGTAGTTCCGGTTTTGTGGGAGCCCGAGAGGGCTGGAAGTAGGAAGCTGTGGTCAAATAGTGGGAAGTTGCAACCATGGGAGAGGCTGGCTGAGGTCTGGTGGAGGAGGGGATGGTCACAGGAGACGGGGTGGCGAGGGGACGGGAAGGTGGCCTCCACGCTGGCTCCTGCTGAGGCTGTCGGGGTGTCTGCATGGGTGACCGGCGGTGACAGTGAGAAAGAGCCCCGAGATGGCAGGGCCGGGTGGCATGCGCCTCAGAGGAGGAGGCCAGAACGAGGGGTGCAGGCCGCCCTTTCTTCTGGGGCTGGGCCTGAGAAAGCAGCGCCTCCAGCGAGCGCGTGACCTCACCTCCTCTTGCGGAATTCCCGTTATCAAGTCACCCATGCCAACAGCGGCTGATGACAGCTCTCCGTCTCCGGGAAAACTGATTACACACCAGAAAGTCATTCTCCAAAGACGAACCTCCCTGGCAGTGGGGAGTGGTGCTGCCTTCAGAGAGGTCAGCACCAGCCCCTCCCTGGTCTCCCTCCCTACGTGGATGGCTCTGGTCTCCCTGGGAGGTAGATGCCCATTTTGTCTAGCGTGTCCTGCACCCCACACCCAAGGAGAGGCCAAAAACCTTCTATCACACTGAGCAGTTCAGGAGCGTCTTCCTGCTCTAACAATCCCATGGGTTGATATGTTTCCTATGGAGTCCTGGGATTTCTTCCTGTGCCTGCAGCTGGGGTCAGCTGCCACCAGTGGGTAGTGGCATCTTGAATATTGTTTAATTGGGGGACAGCTGACATCCTGGAGTCAAAGTTGCACACCGTGCCCTTCATGTGACTTATATATGTTTGTGTGTAATATTTCATTAAAATGTTTTATGGAAACCTAGCTAACACAAATACCTTTTTATGTTAGGTGTATAACTTAGGAACAGCCAAGTATTCATTCCCAACACCTTTATCCTTGTCACTGGGTGTTATCAACCTGATTTTTGCGTGTTCGGACTCATTCTGTGCCCTCTCTCAAAAGACCCCAAAAACCTCCCAAGGAGTTCTCATAGCTGTTTCTGTGGACTCAGCTCGCAGTGCTGGGGCCTCCTAAGAGCTTGCAATCCAAAGCCCTTGTGGAAGGGCTCGCTAGCCTCTCTCTCACCTTCAACATTAAGTGCCCTCCATCGGCTGTTTCCTGGGGAGTTTGGAGCACTCAGTTGCACCAGTCTAAAATCATTCCTTATATTTTGCAGGGTCTTGACAGTGCACCTCTAAAGTTATCTAAAAGTAAAGACATGCATGATGAGAAGTTTCTGCAGAATGGACCTTTTGGTTTTTCATCGCACCCGTTTTGATACTTCCCTCTAAATCATTCCTTATATTTTGCAGGGTCTTGACAGTGCACCTCTAAAGTTATCTAAAAGTAAAGATATGCATGATGAGAAGTTTCTGCAGAATGGACCTTTTGGTTTTTCATCGCACCCGTTTTGATACTTCCCTCTAAGTCTTGGGTGGTATTTAAGCTCGTAGCCATTTTTTCCCCGGCATTATATGTTGTCATGATTTTTTAGTTTTAATTTCTCGGTCTGAATTTACCGCCTCTGTTTTGTGTATGGTCATCAAAACCCTGTCGACAAGGACCAACATGCGAGGCAGGCACGTCCTGCAGAGATCTTTCCTGGCAGAAAAAGAAGTGGTGGGTTCCCAGCTGTCTTAGTCTGTGCATTTTGGCTTAGAGAGCTGGTTACTTTGTTTCTAGATGAGGAAAGGCTCAAAGTACTGCTGATGCAGAGGATGACCAGGTAGCAGCAAGGATTACCCATTTTTGTTGACCTAATCTGCTCAGTCACCATGTGTGGGACACACTGGATGGACTATACAGGTCTCTTCCAAGCAGGAAGAAGTCCAGCTGAACCTTTACGATGTTGCAGAGCAAACACACACCATGACCCTTCCAGACTTCGCTGGCTTTCTCCCTGCCTCGGCTTTCTTGATTCTTATGAACCAGAAGAATGCTGCAGATAAGTTGGGTAGAACTCAGTACATGTAGCCCATGAGCAACCAAAGTTCATGTTGTTTCGGTGGGTTAGGGTTAGGATCAGGGTTAGAACACACTGGAATGAAATCTGTTTTAGAAGGAGACCGTGTATAACATCATGCCAATATGGGTCGGCTGTTTCTTCCTACAAGATGTTTGGCACTTGTGTGACTGACCCGCAGTTTGGTGTCTTTCTTACCGTGTTCAACTACCCCATCCCCTTCTGTTTTTCTACTGGAGAGATTAACCTTGATTTGAGATGATAGTGCCCGGATAACACTGGGTTCTGTGGTGGGAGGGAAGGAATCTTAACTAGTCCTGAGCTTTGTCTCTTTGGAAACTATCAGGCATTTTCTACCCCCACAAAGTCTTAAATATCCTTGCCCCCGAGGCTCTCCAGGCATTCTAGCTCTGCATCCAGGACCAGTTAGTGCTCTGCTGAGGAGAGGTAGTGAGAGACGCAGCAGGCATCAGAGCAGGCCTGGTCCAAATCCTAAGTCCTCAGTGTACCTCTCTAAGCCTCAGGTTCCTCTTCCACAGAGAGGGGACATACTTCCTTTACTGGGTGGTGTTATCAAATGCAGTCACAGCTGGGAAGCACTTGGTAAGCTGTAAGATGCTACAGAAACAGGCAGCAGGTGTATCCCGCTGGGAACGGGATTATCAAAGGCACTGGGCCTGGGCCCCTCTTTCGAGGATCTGGGTTTTCTCAGGCTTCTCCCTGTGTTTTGGGTGTTCAGCCTGGACACATGGGTACGTTGTAGTTACCTTGCAGA